AGCAGGGACAGGCGAGGGCAGCCACCACGCCTGGCAGGGACCATCCCTGCCCCTGTGTCACCGCTTCCCATGAATGTCCTTGTCCCTGCTCCAGGCCAGCGTCCCGGCAGCAGGGGGTCCCTTTGGTGGTTGTGGGTCCAGGGAGGGACACTGGGGCCCTGCCAGCTCCCCGTCCCCATGACGTGGCCGTTCCCTTTCCCGTCCTTCAGCTGATCTGCTGCCCAGAGAGCCCCAGCCTGGTCCCCGCTGGGACCACGTCCATCCCTGGCAGGGACGGCTGTGCTCAGCAGCGTCCCATGGGGCCACCTGCACAAGGGACATCAGGCTGGAGGGGCAGAAGGGCTACAGCAGAGTAAGTCCTGGAAGGACAAGGTGGGACGGGGCTGTCCCTGCAAGTCCAGCAAGCAAAGAGGAGGGTCTGGACACACGAGGGACACATGCAAACGCCCTGCAGCACCCTCTGCACAGCCGTCCTGCGGCTGATACCATGTCCAGGTGGCCGAGCCCAGGCCGAGGGGGCACACGGGGTCAGGGGGGAGTCGCTGCTGCCTGGCTTGGGGTCCCTTTGCAGGCGTGTGATGCCCCACTGCCCAGCCAACCTCCCTTCCCAGCTCCCCCTGGCCTGATCCTGCCAGCTCCGTGCCTGGCCCGGCCTGAGAAAGCCGGGGGAAGCAATGGGCTGGGGAGGGAGCTGCGCTGATAAGGAGCAGCCTCCTGTGCTCCCCATTAGCCTCTCGCCTTTCCCTCGTTAACCTCGGATGTGGCCGGGGCGGGAAGCGGTGCTCAGCAGAGGCAGGGCAGCCTGCGGTGCATCTGCGGCGTAACGCCGACCCATGGGCTCTTGTGGCACCAGGAACCCCATTAGTGCCCGCACCGGCCCCCGCCGCCGCTGCCAGCGCCTCTCAGCCTCCAGCAGCCCATTTTGGAGACCGCTCCTCTCTGCTGGGATTTTACCCCAGCACCCTTTGCCTTTACTCACAGCCAAACCCTCGCACCCACGGGATCTCCCTGGGAGAGGGTTTTGCCGGCTCCGGTAACCCCAAGCCCAGGCGCACGGGGTCATCAGGAACAGGCACCAGGCTCAGGGTCTCTCCTCCGCAGGACCGGCCATCCCCACGCACGTCCTCCTGCAGTGGCGCCTGCGATGGGGGGAGACGGCGAGTGAGGAGCCCCCGGCCCCCGCATGAACCCCCTCCTGTAAGTGCCTCTGGT